CAGGGTGGGCCGGTCCGGGGTGCTTCAGTCCGCCTCTGCGCAGTCTTCCGCTGGCTTTCCCCTATTTGTTATTATTTTTTAAATTTTAATTTATCAATATACAGTGTAGTTGATTTTCATGTTAAAGATGGGTTTTTAAGTGTTAGACAGTAGTTCAGGTTCGTGGTCAATGTTGTGCAGGCCGAACCAAATGTGCCAGTGGTTACTTGGGCTTCCAGACTGCAACCTCTGAGTGGAGGAGGGGACATGTGAGCAGAAGCCTGAAGAGGCGTCTCTCTCCACACCACTTGTCTGAAGAATTGTATTCAATGACTTGGCTGGGTTGCTGACAGTGGAAAGGTTTCTGCACAGAGTCAGCCCACTTTGCTGTCACCTCCTAGGTCCCTGTGATGTGAAGGTGCAGTTATGGCCATTTGTTTCCCAGATCTGCAGGGCCGGTGACCCTCTTTCCTCCCTCAGCGGTGCTGTTGGTGGATGTGCTGTTGTGATGGGCTTTTGAAGTTTTCAGGGGAGGTCTGCATTTCAAGTCCCTGGTTCATCTCTTATATCAGTTTGGGGGAATTTTTGCTGCTGGAATTCTGCCATTAGTGAGGACCAAAGTGATTTTAAAAAAAAAAGAAAGGTCATGGGAGAGAGGAGCATGGGGCCTGTTTGTCAAGTGGTATTCCCACAGGCACATTGGAGGATCCTTTCCTAGAGACCTGCCCTGGGTCTGGCACTGCCCTCCTTGATGGAGGAGCTGGCATGCTGCCACTTATCACACTTCTGTGTACTCTTAGGTCCCAGTCTCCGTAGATCATTGTAAGCTATCCAGTCACCACAGCTGATCTTCTTGCAAGATAGTTTGGGTGATGCCAGAGGCTGACACCTTCAGGCACCTTCTCTGCTGAGCACTGTTCTGAGCACTTTATGTGTTTTGATCATTCCGTTCTCACATTGGCCCTTCAGTACGTACCATCATCCTCCTTTTATGGAGGAAGAAACTGAGGCATAGAACAGCGAAATAACTTGTCTGAGGCCACTCAGAGTGGCAGGACTTGTACCCAGACGGTTGAACTCTGGAGCCTCTTTAAGCGATGAGCTCTGTTGGTCCTCACCACACCCTCTTAAAGAAGTCACTGCTGCTACTCCCATTTTACATATGCGAATGCTGAGGCTCAGAGAGGTGGAGCAGCTGCCCAAGGTCATTCCCTAGGAAGTGGTAGAGCTGAGATTCTAATCCAGGTTATCCAGCCTGACCCTGGAGCCTAGGCTTAACTACTCCACTGTTGTGGGAGGAACCATGGTCTTCTCCAGCCAACAATTTCCAGGTGATCCATAGGGGAAACTGCATCTCAGGCAGAGTGGCCTGCCTGAGGTCCCCAAGCAAGGTCTCTGGGTCAGGGCTGGCTCCTGCTTTCCATACTCACCGTCCCTGGTGTTTTTTCCTGTGTGCTTGATTAACCTGGTCCATGGCCCCCATCTTCTGGGCTTGGAGGAGCTGTAGGCATCATTGCTGTGGACCAGATTCCTTTCCTTTCTTAATCTTGGAGCCTGAGAGCCCCTGCAGTCTGTCCCCTTGTTTTGGCTGCCCGACCTCTGAGATGACTCTCCCCACTTCAGTCAGATTGATCTTTGTTCCTGCTGCAGACCCGCTCACTCTAGCTCTTTACCTGGGCTCTTGGCATTTCACCAGCCTATCAGGTCTTCCTCTGAGTGTCCAAACCCTGCCTTGCTGCCAGGGCCAGCCTAGGCCCACCTCCTCCCGCAGCCTGTCCCTGCCGCCCAGCTCTTGGTGATCCCTCTCTTCCTCTCGCTCCTGAGTCCAGCATGACTGAGGACCATTACTGGGCACCACTGGTGTAAGGGACACTGCTTAAGGGCAAGGATCATTGTGCCTCTTCCTCTCTATACCCCCAGGGGAACAGTGAGGATGAGCCATCTTTAGTTGATTGATTGCAGTGAGAGTATTCAGCTCAGCCACTGTATTGTGCTTTTTTTTTTTTCCCATTCCTTATACCCCATTGGTCATCTTTTTGCTGTTATCATATCCCTGTCAGCCTGTGCCTTCCTGGAGCACTAGCAAGGCTGTGCTCTGGAACAGAAACACTGCATGGCTTCTCTTGGTCCTTGATATGATGAAATTCTCTCCCTCCCTAAGGATGGATTGATTAATTTTGTCTGGTCCACCTGGACCCTGTGCACTTGGAAGGGTGAAGACATCCTCAGCTAGGTTAGGGGGAGTATACAGTGAAGTCAAGTGTCCTTTAGGAGTTAAATCTATCTCTTTATGAGTGGGATCTATAGAGGGAAGCTCCCCAGGCTAGCTTCGGTCATCTTACTTCCCACCAGTCTCTGGCACATTGTCCTTCTTGCTCCCAAATATGGGTTTCTGTCACTCAGAGGTTGACATTGATCTCTGAAGCATTGAGTTCAGTTGGGCATGAATGGCGATTATCCATCACATATAGTTTGGTTTGGATTTCTTTTGCAAACTTTTGTTGCTCTTGCCTTATTTAATACAGCTTTGTGTGATTTGTTAGCAGAAGACTGGAACACAACCTGATATCCTAAAATAGAAATCTGGTTGAACAAATTATGGTACATCTATCCAGTGGAAAAAGAGGCAGCTTTTTTAGCTGTGAAAAAGAGGCTGCTTTTTATGCACTGATGTGGAAAAATCTCTAGTAGATTTTTAGTGAAAGAAGCAGGTTACAGAATCTCTCTGGGAGAAGAGAAAAGAAATAACAATTTTTATTTGTCTCAGGTGAACCCAGTGGCTGAGGGGATTTTGCTATAGAGCCAGTTCTTTTTGAATTTGGAGATATGCATGAATGGGTATCTTATTTAAAAAAGCATTGAGATTAAAAAGGCCCAAATTGGGGAAGAGACTTTGCTAATGCCCCAGTATTGGAACTTGGTATGAATAGCCTGCTTCCATTTGTGTGAGAGTGGGAGGGAGGGATAGATTTGCTTAGGCATAAAACCTCTGGGAAGACACAAAGGAATCACTATAACTAGTTACTGCTCGGCAAGAAAAGTTAGATGGTTGTGGAGCAAAAGGAGGGAGATTTTTTACTGTATAACCTTTTATACTTTTGTAATTTTGAATTTTGTGAACATATGCTTATTCAAAAATCAAAATAAGTAATCCAAAAAGCCCCCCATGACATTGTAGTGGCATGAGAAGTCCATCAGCAAGCTACCAGTTTTGAACTTCTGGGTTTTCAAATCTATTGAATGTAGATTTTCTAAGTTTATATGGTATAATAGCAAACTCTTGATGTTGCTCTGATTATGTCCAAGGCCCTGTTCTAAGCGCTTTATGCATGTGCTCATTGAAATCCTCACAACAGCCCTATGGGTCGGACGGGTAGAAGCTATTAATCATTCCCATTTTACAGGTGAGGAAACTGAGACACAGAGAGCTTAAGTAACTTGCTTGAGGTTGCACAGCTGATAAATGGCCGAGCCAGGGTTCGAATCCAGGCATTCTGGCTCCAGCACCCATGTTCTTAGGCATGGTAGTTAAGGTATGAAATCACTGTCTTGATGCTTTTGTTCCTTGTAAGGACCATTGGCGGTGGGTTTGGTTCAATAAAGTTTAAGCTCCCTCTCTCCCCAGACCATTTCTCATCAGCTGCTTTGGAAGCCCTGTTATTTCTTAGGTGTGTCCATCTTATTATTGAACTGCTAAGACTTCCTTCTAAGGTTTATCTGAGCTATGATCCATTTTATTTTATTTTTTAGAGAATTATGATGACTTGTACCATTGGTCAGTTGAATCTTATTCAGACTTCTGGGCTGAGTTCTGGAAATTCAGTGGAATTGTTTTCTCACGCATGTATGATGAGGTAAGCAGAGATTTTGCCTATGTGCTTATTTGTTATCTTATTTATGTGTTGTGTTATAAGGTGAAATGTTAATTTTTTTGGAATACCAAATCATATCTTTTAAAACCTCACATCCATGGGAAAAAGTCATTGCCCCAGAGAACTGGCATTACATGACCATGGACTCTCTTGAGACCCGGTAATCTGTGAATCCTTGTTGTGTGTGGACCCCCAGCCCTATCCTGTGAACTTGAATGATCCTAAGTAGTAGGGTGTTGGTTTTTTTTTTTTTTTTTTGGGTAATTGAAAAATTTTTAATTGTGGTAAAATGTACATAACATAAAATTTACCATCTTAACCCTTTTAAAGTGTATAGTTCAGTCATAATAAGTACACTCACATTGTTGTAGTTTTTTAAACTATTGATAGTTTCATTATTTTTTTAACCCTGGAGTTTAGGGAACTTTTCAACCCCTTACACTGTAAATCAGTAAATATCTGGGGAAAGGGAGTCCTGTTATTCAAAGTCTAATTTATTGTCTTTTGGGGGCAAACCATTCTGAAAGGTTGATCTGTTGGCACTGAGAGGAAAAAAAAATCAAGGTTCCAGGACCCCAAGGAAGGAAGCAAAGAGTCAGACTTCTAGACATTGTGGGAGGATGGGCAGGTGGGCCCTAAGCTTGAGCTCCTGGTGTTTGGGTGTCTGGTCAGAGCTTGGCATCTTGGCCAGGCATCTGATTTACTTTGTCTGCGGCATCTCTCATAAAGTAGATACTTAATAAATATTTGTTGAAAGAGTAAATTACTGGGGATGGTGTTTTCCCTTGGCATTAATATTTGTTTTCAGTTTCAAGCCTTTAGTTCGGTTCATAGTTCAGTCTATAAAATGTAAATGCTTTGGGCCAATGGGTTAGCTGGCTTCCTGGGAAGCAGAATAGCTTTTATTTATTTGTGGCGAAGGTCTCATGTATGTGTGTGTCTTGGTTTGCTGTCACCCTCTATAGGTTGTGGACACATCTAAAGGGATTGCAGATGTCCCCGAGTGGTTCAGAGGCAGTCGCCTGAACTATGCAGAAAACCTCCTGTGGCACAAAGAGAATGACAGAGTTGCCCTTTATGTTGCAAGTGAGTCCTGACCTCGGGTTTCCTCTGGTGGTGTTCTAGATGGTGCATACATGTGGCACCACGTGTTTGGAGAGGCTCTGGAGCCTGCAGAAACTGCAGTGTAGGATTTCCAAACAATATCTTGGCACCTTTCTGATGTAATTAAGACTTCTGTTGACCATATTTTCTCTGGGGAGTGAAGAGGGCTAGTCTCGTGGTTGTATTTTATGGGAGAAATGGGGACACCCAATATTAAGTAACCAGCTTGAGTCCCTTGGAAAGTAAGTGGTGGAACTATGGCTAGAATCTCTTCCCACTGGATTCTCCTTTTACAGGAAAGTTTAAAGAATATCCCAATTTATGTACTAAGCAGTCTCTAGAAGAATTGGTATAAATGAAATGTTTTAAATAAGCTAGGAGTATTCTTAGTAAGGAAATACTATAGGTAGCTGTCTAAATTAGTTTTTCTTCCCCCCTCAATAAGGGAATCTGAACCCTTGACCTTGGTGTTATCAGTACCATGCTCTCCCAAGTGAGCTAACCAGCCAGCCTCCTATGTTAGTTTTTTGATAAAGCTGAATATTTGTAAAAAGTAACATTGAATTTATGTACTACTGTTAGGATTTGAGGTATTTCACATAAGTGAATTTTCTAGGTGACTAAACTTTTCACCTTTGAATAATAAAACTTTATCCATTTGTGACACAATGTTCTATTATAAGTTGTGGGGAAATATGCTTAAGTAGAGGAGCTGGAACATCATCAAACCTCTTGTTTTTCATGACTCAAGGCTTCTATTTTTTGGATGGTGCCAGAAACCAGTACCATCAAGAGCTGTTATAGTGTATGGGATGGTTTCTCCTAGACTTTCAGAAAGGCCCCCGGGCTATTGTGTCCTCTGCCATCAGGTGCCCAATTATCATAGTGTTTCTGTCCCGACCTTGCTGCCTGCAGGTGCTGGCATCCTTGCTTCTAGCAACCCTCGTCTTCACTAAAAGTTGCTGTATTTCATCAGAGTGGTGTGGGAAATCAGGTAGTTGTGCTTCTACAAGTAGTGCTTAAAATAGGAGCAAATGAGCTTGGGTGATGATTTGAGAGTTCAAGTCCCAGTCCCACACTCAGCAGCTGTGCAACCTTGGGTAAGTCACTCAACCTCTCTGGGTCTGTTTCTGCATCTGTAAAATGGGAAGGATGACAGTACCAATTTCAGGGATTATTATTGTAGGGATTAAGTGAGTGTATCTATATCTGTACACAGTATCTTAGCACAGTCCTTGGCACAGAGGAAACACGCATAGTTTCAGTCAAGGTCATACGTCTGGAATCCCTGTGTAGCTTTTATTTTTTTATTTTTTCATTTTTTTGTCTTTTTTGTGACTGGTAAGGGGATCGCAACCCTTGGTGTGGTGTCGCCTGCACCGCACTCAGCCAGTGAGCGCACCAGCCAGTCCTATATAGGATCCGAACCCGCGGCGGGAGCGTCGCTGTGCTCCCAGTGCCGCACTCTCCCGAGTGCGCCACGGGGCCGGCCCCCTTTGTAGCTTTTAAGATCATGGCTGTTCAATTCCCACTATGACTTGCTGGAACATATCTTGCAGGGCTGGACTCAAGCCTGCCCGTAGTTTTTAAAGCCCATAGTCACTTCTGATGCACACTCTTGGTTGAGGAGGTAGGTAGCAGTGTAGTAGCTTGGCTATTCAGCATTATTTTGCTCCTTTCCTTGGTTCTTCATATTGATACAATGAAGGCTGAGTGGATGAGTGGCCTTGGACATTATGCCAGTGCTCTGTCTCTCTTGCTCAGTGAGAAGGTCTTTGCAGACTCATGTGGCTGGTCATTCACTTGCTGCTTGGATCTGTATTAAATACCTCTTCTGTAAGAGGTGCTGGGAACACAGCATTGCAGGGACAGACAAGCTCCCTGCTCTTGGGAGGCTGACATTCTGGGGTGGAACAATAAATAAGAAAACATATATAAAATTTCAGGTAGCTCTTAGTTTCCTCACTGTGTTTCAGAATAGGACTTGGTTTGCACCAGTATTTCAAGAATGTGCTAGTTGTGTAAAATGAGGTGAATCGTCAGAGGCTGGTCTCAGGCAGGCAGGGCAGGAGGCTTGCAGGGAGTCTTGATGGGTTCAGACTCTGGGAGGGGGAGAGCACAGAGGTTAGAGGCTCTTTTTTTCCAGTTGGAATACAGTTTACAGTGGGTTTAGCTTATTCACAAGGTTGTGCAAACCACCACCTCTAGTTTTAGAACATTTCCATCACCCCAAAAGAAAATCCCCTCATTAGCAGTCACCCTCATTCCTCCCTCCCCCATGTCCTGCAACCATGAATCTGCTTTCCTTCTCTATAGATTTGCCTATTCTGGACATTTCATGTGGGCTTTTGTGTCTGGCTTCTTTCACTCAGCGTGATGTTTTCAAGGTTCATCCACATTGTAGTGTGTGTCAGTGCTTCATTCCTTTTATGTCCTTGTGGTATTTCATTGTATGTATAGACCACATTTTGTTTATCCATAAGAGACTCATAAAGGACTGTCCCGCCCAGGCTCTATGATGCTTGTGTAAACCTCACTGGGACACCAACCCACTTGCATCTTTTGTAGTCCTGAGGAGCTAGAATGCTGGGTCCCTTTTTTATCTGCTTTTCCTGCTCCCTTTAAATGTGTATGTACTTTTACCCAGTGTCACAGACATGTCATGAGGTCTTGATTTCTCCTGGAAAGCGGGAGTGCTCAAAAGTGAATCTTCTTAAAAGAAATCCGAAAACTAAAAATCAGTCATCTGCTTGATTGCTAGTGATAAAACAAGCCAGTCTTCCCAGAACTTGAACTGTGGGTGTCTGGGTGGGGTGGGGAGTGAACTGAGTGTGCAAACTCTTTCTCTCTCTCACAGGTATATACCATACTGGTTGAATCTGGCCAGTTGCGTGCCCCCCCCGCCCTTTTTTTTTAAGGCCCTGCTCTATCTCTAGTGTGGGTTAAGGAGGTTATAATTCCATGTCCCCTGTCTGTCTTACGCTGCCCCTTGCTTGCCCTGTGTCCTCCCCACCCCCGCCATCCCTTCCCATTTATTTATTTATTTATTTTCATCCCTTCCCTTTTAAATATTTGAGCCCCTTCTTTTCATGAGCTCTCCCTTTCCTCATAATTGCAGTGGGAATAGTGCCCTCAAGTTGGGGATCACATTTAGTTTACAAATCTGAGATCTTACTTGAGCAGGTACCTGAGTTGGCTGATTACTGGTTTGGAGGCTTTAAGGTTATTGTATTTCATCTTCTTTCTGTGTGTTTCTATGGTTTGTTTCTTGCTCGCCCAGCTGCGGGCAGGTGTTCACAGAGCTCTGCTCTGTGCTCACTCGGGCATTCTCAGTAGAGCTCATCCTTCCTGCCTGTAATCCTGGGTTAGGCCATGTAATGAGTGTACTGTTGCTCTCATGCTCCAGCGAGTGGAGCAAAACACCACACATCGGCCCATCAATGTTTAGATTGTTAGAGGAGTTGCCTGCATAGCACATTTTGTCTTTGAACCGTAGATTTCAGGTTGCTGAGTATTTTTACAGGATAGAAAATTATTTGGGCTGGGAATATGAGAGAGGTATCTAAAAGGCCACCTGAGAGAGGTGAGGAAAAGATGGTAGGCAAGAATATCCAACTTCAAGCAAATAGGGAAGAGCCAGATTTACACCAAAGGGAAATTAGAATGTTTATCCACTTTGGAAACGAGAGGCTTCATATTACAGAACTGAAAAGCAGTTAGCAATCAGGAACAAATATTTGCATCAGAGATAATGGTCAAAGGATTAACGTATTTCCTGCAGAAAGTACATTCAAATAATTTTCCTGCACTTTCACAACATTGAGTCTTACTTGTATTAATTTTTTTTTTTTTTTTTTTTTTTTTGGTGTCTGTCTGGTGGGGGGATTTCTTTTTTTAATTTTTTTTTTTTTTTTTTGTGGGGTCTGTTTGGGGGGGGGATTTCTTTTTTTAATTTTTTTTTTTTTTTTTTGTGGGGTCTGTTTGGGGGGGGGATTTCTTTTTTTAATTTTTTTTTTTTTTTTTTTTTTGTGGTGTCTGTCTGGTGTGGAGATTACTTGTATTAATTATCTTGCTGTGTAACAAATGACCTGAAAGCTGTGGCTTAAAATAGTAGATGTTTATTATCTCACAGTTTTGGTGGGTTAGACATTCAGCTGGGTGGTCTTTCATGAAACTGCAGTGAGGATGTTGTCTGGGGCTTGACCAAGGCTGGAGGATCCACATTCCATTTGGGGAGCTCACACAGCTGCTGGCCAGGAGCCTTGGCAGCTCACCATGTGGGCCTCTCCATGGGCTGCTTGAGGGTCCTCACAACATGGCACACAATCTGGCTTCCCCCAGATTGAGCCACGTGGGAACTGCAGCGTCGTTTATAGCCAGGGTTCAGAAGTCACTCCATCATTTCCACAATAATGTGTTGGTTCCCCACGTCAGGCCCACTCAGTGTGGGAGGGGCTACATACTACACCAGAGCATGAATACCCAGGTGGGTGTCCTTGAGGGCCATCGTGGAGGCTGGGTACCACACTGTACTTTTCCATTCTTGCCAGTCTTCTAGGTGAAAATTAGTATCTCACTGTTTTCATGGACATTTCTTTGATAACTAGTGAGGATGATCATTTTATTTTCTTATTCATACTTTTTTTTCTACAGTGAGCTTGTATTATTTTTATAATCTTAAAAAAAAATCAAAATCAAGCCAAAGGTGGAATATTGCTCAGCAATAAAAAAGAACGAATTATAGGGTTGGCCAGTTAGCTCAGTTGGTTAGAGTGCAGTGTTATAACACTAAGATTAAGGGTTTGGATCCCCAGCCACCAAAAAAAAAACCCCCCAAAAAAGTAAAGGAATGAATCGTTGATGCATGCAATAACTTAAATGAATTTTAAGGGCATTATACCAGGTGAAAAAAGCCAATCTCAGAAGGCCACCTGCTGTGTGATTCCATTCATATAAATTCTCGAAATGACAAAATGTGGGAGAACAGATTAGTGATTGCCCAGGGGTAGGGATGTTGGTGGGGGGCTTACTATAAAGGGATAGTGGAGGAAGGTCTTCGTGGCTACGGAAATATTCTACATCTGGATTGTAGGAAATGCCATAAAATGACAAAGAACCATGCACACACCTTGTATCCATGTCAGTTCCCTGGCTTTGACATTGAACTGTAGTTATATAAGATGTAACCACCAGGGAAGCTGAGTGAAGGGGTCATGGGACCTCTCTGTACTCTCTTTGCAACTTCCTGTGAATCTATAGTCATTTCAAAATAAAAGAAACCCTCAACCCATATCAAAGGATTCTTCACTTAATGAAAACATTCTCAACAGAACATCTTTAAAGGATAAGTTCAGTTTGTATGTTTCTGAGGCTTTCACACAGCCTGTCTGTTCCAAGAAGTTGAGTCAACCTGCATCTTGTCTTGCGTTCCTTGCATCTCTGTAAGGTTTTCCCTGGGCCTTGATTGATTTTTCATCCAGCGCCTATGCCTTGGAGCCTTTCTTTTTGTGATGGTCTGTGTATGATTGTCCTTTTTCTCTTCACAGGGGAAGGCAAAGAGGAAATTGTGAAGGTGACTTTTGAAGAGTTGAGGCAACAGGTGGCTTTGTTTGCAGCAGCCATGAGGAGAATGGGTGTGAAAAAGGGAGACCGGGTCGTGGGTAAGTGTTTTTGGAGCTTGTGATGGCTTGGGGGAGGGGACAAGGCAGAATGAATGGCTTAGAAGGTTGAAACGACTTTTGAATAAAGTGGAGTCGTGTTATGGTACATCCAGGGTTGCTTCAAAAAGTTCACAGAAAGATTCGTATTATCTTTCAATTCTATTTTTCCACAAACTTTTTTTTGCTGGCTGGCCAGTAAGGGGATCCAAACGCTTAACTTTGGTGTTATCAGCATCACATTCTCCCAAGTGGGCTAATTGGCCAGCCCCCACACAAACTTTTTTGGAGTACTCTTTTATAACCTTTTAGGACTTCAATTATATATGTGAGGCAGAAAATAGACAAAGAAGGAAAATCGCTGGAAATGTCTTGCCCTGTTCTGTGAAGACAGGAATTCTTTTTGTTTTGTTCGCTGCTTTGTCCCAGAGTCTGAGACAGTTCCAAGAACATCAAGGGTATGCAGTCAACCCAGGTTGGTTGGATTCACAAAGGTGCATCTAGGTGTCAGCCCTGCAATGGGGTGGGAGAGCAAAGGGCAGTCCAGGCTACAGACACAGCCTTTGCAAAGGCCCGGAGGCTCGCTAGAGTGAGGTGTCTGTACGGGCGACAGGAGCTCTGTGGGGTGGAGTGTGCGAGGTAGGGCACGTGCCAGGACTGATCCCAAAAGGCCTTGTCTACCTTCACCTGCTCTGCCTAGATGCTCTGTCCCTTGTGATTGCCCCTCCCCTCTTGAACTGTAAAGCATGGGAGGGAAGGTGAGTGGAACCCAAAGATTCCAGAAAAGGAGCAGGACCCACTGACGCTTGGGCTGAGACCCCAATTGGGACAGTTGTGTTGGAAGGAGCAGGTTGGAGGCTGGATGTGGCTAACGTGAGGCCTGAGGCCTGCCTCATTCTCCCTTCCTGAGCTGGGCCCTCCCTTTGTCCCCTCAGGTAGAGAGTCATGATTTCCTCTTGCGAGCAACTTAGGTGTTTTTCTTAGAGTTTTCACCTTGACTTCTGGAAAAATTTAAAGGCTTGCAAATGGACTTGATCTTTGCCCCAAGGAACTTTAGTTAATTTAGATGTAGCAGGTATGTACACAGGGGTGAGCAGGTAGAGACAGGTGATTTATCTTCCAGTGCAGGCCTGGTGGTCAGGGCTCATGACTTCACTCCCTCCATCCCTCATGGTCATGGACAAGGACCACAGGACGGGGCTGATGGCAAGCAGAGCTGCCGGGCAGGGGCTCAGGCTTTGGAACCTCAGTGTTTGGCATGGGTGCACCTCTTCCAAGGGAACTGAGTGCAAATGGTCATCCAGTTTGTGTCTGCAAAGAGGGTGGATGAGCTGGGCAGCCTCATTATATATAAATGAAGTAAACAGGCTGAACAGAGAATCCCTGCTGGCCAGGGCCCCTGTGTCTCCTCAGGTAACAGGACTGGGCATGGAGGTAATGGTCAACAGATGTTAGCTGAGTGGAAAGGAATCAAATAGAAATGAACACACAGAATTAATTCCTGTCTCAGCCCTTGATGGAATGTTCTTGTGCATGTGTGTGGGGTTTACCCTGGTTCATGGAGGTCTCTGCTCAAACGTTACCTGCTCAGAGGCAGTCCCTGGTTGTCCTTCAAAAAGTTCATTACCACTGTCCCTGCACCTGCTTCATTTTTCTGTGTAGTCTTTATCACCCACTCAAAATCACAGGGTTGTGTGTGTGTGCATGTGTGTGTCCCCTCCAGTACTAGAGGACAGGGTTTGTCTTCTGTTTGCTGACATATCTCAATCTGTAAAGAGTGCCTGGCACATAGTAGGCATCTAGTAAATATTGCCTGAATGAGTGAATGTGAGTACTGGGCTGGTGACCTGTGCAGGCATTTTTGAAGTTGAAACCTCACTTTTCTTGGGTCCTTCTTGATCCAGTTTAATCTGTACCCTTTTATTTATTTGTTTATTTTTAAAAGATGACCAGTAAGGGGATCTTAACCCTTGGCTTGGTGTTGTCAGCACCATGCTCTCCCAAGTGAGCTAATGGGCCATCCCTATATAGGGGTTCGAACCTGTGGCCTTGGTGTTATCAGCACCACACTCTCCCAAGTGAGCCACGGGCCGGCCCTACTCTGTACCCTTTTAAGGTCTGGCAAAGGAGTGTAAAAGGTTCTCCTACTCTCCAGTTTTCATTTTTTAAAATCTCCTTTGAAGCAACCATTTTTGAGAGAAGGAGAAACACAACAGGGTGTGTTGGGGGAAGGCAGTTGCAATTGCTTTGGGCTCCACTTTCTTTGAGGAGACACCTGGCTTTGATGCCCTGGATGCTTCCAATCCAGGCTGGGTCCTCATGGCCCACCCTTCCTGTGGGTCTCAGCTGGGATACTGACTGCAGCTACTAGGACCAGGGGCTTTGTGTTTTTTGGAAGAGAACACTAGGAAATGATTTAGGGGAAGATTAAATGGGATGGATACTTTAAGGGCTTCAAAAGATGGAGTTGAAGCTGCTCATGGCTCAGTTTTCTTTTGTTTGTGAAGTGGTTGCCAAGGACAGTGTCTGATGTGTTTCAGGAGAAGGGCGGGGCTCCTCGCCATTTGTCAGTCACCACACAGTCAGTTTGATCACACAGCTGCTCCCCTGGGCAGTGAGTCCTGCCCTGCCCTTGGAAGTGACACTAGAGAGACGCTTTAGTTTACACTCAAAGCCAAGCTTCATCTCCGTGGCAAACTCAGTAAACATCTCTGGGCCTGCCAGATGTGGGATGGAGCCCCATGGGGTGGAGGCAATGATGCATGACTCCTGCCCCTTGGGTGCTTATGGCTTGAGAATGGGAGACATTGAATACAAAGAAATGGAAGTACAGCTGCTATGGGCAAGCAGGAGAGAGGAGGGGACAGAGGGAGGGGGCTGAGCAGGGAGCCCCAGGTGATCACCTGGGGAGCCGCACCTTGCTCAGGTGATACATCTGGGTGTGGCCCTTCTGCTCCCTAATGCATTGTGCCCAAGTCCTTTCCTCTTCATTATTTAGAATGATCTGTCTAATTGATCATAATCCCCCTGGCCATAAAGATTCTCTGCCTCTATTGCCACGAAAGCCAGTGTCCTAGTAGAGGGAGTGCCTGAGCACCTCTTCTTCTGCCCCTTCCAGGTTTATGTGGTTCTTGACTGTGCTGCTTGTGTTCTTCAGTCCCTCCCCTCCTCTCCATCCAACCATCTATACATCCATCGTTCATCTGTCCACCTGTCTATTCATCATCCATCCATCCATCTGTCCACCTGTCAATCCATCCATCCATCCATCATTCCTCCATTCATCCATCTGTCCATCTGTTCATCTGTCCATTGTCCAGCTACCCATTGCCTGTTTTTCCATATGTCTATTTGTCCATCTATCCGTCAGCCAGCCAGCCAATATCTGAGGGCCGTGAAATGCAGGGCAAGGTAAAAGGCATTTGGTAAAGCAAAGAAGACAGGCAAAGTCCCAGCCCTCACATGAGAACCAGATATTAAATAGCCAGTTATATAGGTGATTATTCATTTGCAGTTGTGGTAAGTTTGGTGAGGGAAAAATACAGTGTGTTTTATAGGTGACTAGGCAGGGGACCTGGGTTCATGGGGAAGGGGCAAGATGGCCTTGGAGAAGGCCTCTCCAAGGAAGTTTTGTGAGAGTTGGGAGCTGAAGGATGAGGATGCACTAAGTGGGGAAGGCTGTTGTGTGTAGGAGAGTGCTCAGGCAATGCAGACTGTGTGCAAAGGCCCTGAGGCAGGAGGAATTTAGAACCACTACAGGGCCGGCCCATGGCTCATTCTGGAGAGTGCGGTGCTGGTAACACCAAGGCCCTGGGTTCGGATCCCATATAGGGATGGCCGGTTTGCTCACTGGCTGAGCGTGGTGCTGACAACACCAAGTCAAGGGTTAAGATCCCCTTACCGGTCATCTTTTAAAAAAAAAAAGAACCACTGCAAACTGAAAGAAAGCTCTTGTGACTGGGTGAGAGTGATGGGGAGAAATGGGAGAGGTAGCTAGGGAGGACGGGGCCAGATCACTCAGGGCCACAGGAGTCACTGTGATGAGACTGGAGGGTGGGTTGGAGTGGGGACAGTCGTGAGTGGACAGGCAGTGGTAGGCAGCCCAGCTTGGATCGGGGGTTGCTGGCTGTGCTCCTTGGGTAGTTCAAGGCCAGCTTCCACTCCCCCCTCTGGCCCTGGCTCTTGGAGGAAACTTCTGGAAGTCTGCTGCTCGACACACCCTCTGAGCCCAAGGCCTTCTCCGTCTGTCCTCTTGACAGGTTATTTACCCAATAGCGTGCACGCAGTGGAGGCGATGCTGGCCACAACGAGTATCGGTGCCATCTGGAGCTCCACATCTCCAGACTTCGGTGTGAATGTGAGTCAGGGTCCTCACTGTGGGGGTTGCTGCGGTGCCCTGTGGGTGTTCTAGGCAGGGCAGCTGCAGGGCGATTCCCAGGAGAGCAGCACGGCAGGATGAGCAAGGCTGGGAGGAGACCAGATCTGGACAGCCTCCTGTCTCCCTGGCCGGTGATGCAAGAATAACAGGGGAGAAAGAGCCAGGAGTTGAATCTTGTTCTTAAATTTAAACACAAACTGGTTCTTCCTCTGTTTCAAGTAGTCCTAACATTCCCATCCATGTTTATTGATGGCTTTAGCCAGGGTTGTATGCAGCAGTCAGTACTGTGACAGTCTGGTGTGACATTGCCTTTTCTTCCTTGCCTGTGATTTCCTGACCATGTGAGATTTCCTACATATTTACCCTCCGAGGTCAGTTTTCCAGATTTGCTCTGAAAGTGTTGTTCACAGATGTTTCCCCAGAACCTCCTTGCAACGATCACTCCTGTTTCTGATTCCTTCCTTTGGATCCGAGCTCTGTACTGTGTGGGGCGTGCACTCTGGGAGGGAACTGAGGACCCCAGGGTGCATCCAGCTGCTCAGAGCAGCCCAGGCAGGGGCAGAAAACACACACTGAGCTCCACTGTGACCACTCAGCCCCACGGCCCCTCCATGGGATAAATGAAGAAGAAGCAGAGAGGAACTTGCTTGGCCCTGGCTCCCTAGCCAGGGACCTTTCCTGGTGCAGGGCTTTGGGAATCAAGGACCTTCAGGAGGCTTGAGGACAGACCCCTGTTAGAGGACACGTGGTGTCCATGTCCCTGACTGCTCCTCCTGTCACAGGCTGCATCTGTTCTGGGGCAGGCCCCTGCACTGGGCATTGGTCAGTGCAGCCCAGCAGCTGAGGGTGGGCCTGGGGAGTTTTGCATCCTCTCTGTGCCTCAGTTTCCTCATCTGCAAAACAGGGACAGTGATATGAGACAAGTATAAATTGAGTTCATCCATGCAGGACTTGTAGAGCAATAAATAGCATATGGGAGGTCCATGGCGTTGGCTGCAGATACAGTTATCAGCACTCTCAGCACCCAGTGCATGGTAGGCACTGTGCACGGTTGTCCACGGGCTAGGCTTTTTGGGTGTGAGCTCAGAAACTCATGTCGACTTTGAGGCTTGCTTTTTTTTTTTTTTTTTTTTTTTTTTTTTTTTTT